TAATGTATGAAATATTATGATTATTATCCATTACATAGTTTACCTAGGTAATTAATACAATCCCTAGGGATTGTATAGAGTAGCTGCTGTTCCACCGGAATTGTGTAAAATAAATAGATCTTGGTCTAAATTTATCAATGTTAACAGGCATACCTATAAAATGACGGGCAAATGAAACAAGTTATATTATTTAAAAACAACTTTCCTAAAATTAATAATTCGAGTCCTTAAAAATAAGCTTTATGAAAAGAGTACAAGAAAAGCACCTCTTTGTTACTACAGTGAAACTAAAAATTATTCTGGTTACAAGAAACGTAATGTAATTTTCTTTGCTTACAAGGAAGCATTTCGTTTATTGCCTGCCTGCCGGTACGTACAACCCGTTCCTTGCTCTCGTCTTTTACATACATTACCGGCTGCGCATTTGGTATTGTACAGAATACCTAGGCAAAGTATAAAACAAATAATATTTTATACATTACCTACACGGTTTAGGTATTCTATACATTACCTAGGTATTGTATAGAATACCGGATTATACAAAATGCCGGTAACATACATATTTATATGCAAATATTTGATAGATACGATCAACTTAAAGTCATTTTCAGAGCCCAAAACTCCGCTCACAGACTGATCCTTTAAGGAGGTGTTTGAAATAAGGCCTGTGCGCCTATGGTGACTATAAATATTCAATGTTATACAGACAGTGACATTTATGACACACGTATATGATACCGCAGATGACGTCAAAAAACCGCGAATAGTTCAAATGAATGGTCATTTATCTCTTCTGAAATCTTATTCGGTTTTAAAATAACGACTCCGCAGTTGGGTTCGTACGTTATAAGAGGTGAAGAAACACGAAATTTCTATCAATAGTCTGGTCATATTACGTTAATATCCATGGTGCATTGGATATTATTGCCTCCCGTCTCTGTTACCATGACCAACCACATACAATGCTGTTTCATGCTTTTTGCGATTATCAGTACGGTATAGGTATAGATCACCTACAAATAGTTCGCGAAAGCTTGATACATCTTCGAACCATAGGCTGGAAATGCAGAGAAGATGTATCAAGCTGTGGCGAACCATATGGAGGTGACAGCTGTCACTAGGGTGTATTTGTTACTTCTCACGCATAGGCGTGTCTATCCACGTAATTTTTGTTAAGAGTTACACCGATTTTTGATAAGATTTACTTTAGAGATACTTTACCTTTGTTGTGTATTTCAAACAATATTACATACGATTTCAACCCAGTAACACACGCAATATTTCTAGAAGGTTCGCAAGTCTGGTTAATGCCAATCAACGACCGCCCTTAGGCCTGTTTATGTTATAGATTCCAATCCTCTGGGCACTTGTTACCATCGTTTGTACCCTTTTTATTTAATTTACTAAATTTTTGATTGAGTGGAGACCCGTTCATAGATCGGCCATTGGGACTCTTTATCACATCACAATCAAACAACGTGGCGAAATAATTTTGAAGCGACGAACTTTAAGTACCTAATATTGATTCCAAATGTATTTAAAATTACTAGTGTCACGTCAACCTGCCTACAAAAATATAAATCTCCCGGTGGCCAATATACTGCTAAATACATTACGTTATTAAGATAAAATAATGGGCATACAATTAGTAATTACATGTAGGTATTTTGATTATTTATTTATTACTTATTTGTTTTAGTGTTATAAGTGCAAAATTTCAGCGAAAAAAACAGTTTTCCGAGGACTACATTAAGTTTGGATTTACCTTCATAGAAAAAGATAAGTTACAATTGCCTCAGTGTGTGATATGTATGAAACTTTTAAGTAATGATAGCATGAGGCTAAATCGCCTTAAAAGGCATTTGAAACAACAACATCCTACTCTGGTTTTGAAGACGAAAGAGTTTTTTTCTTCTAAAGCAGAATCACTCAAGCCGATGAGACTGAATAAAATGGGAAGTTATCACACAGGTGTATCGCAGCATCTCTCATTTGAAATAGCTTTTATGATAGCAAAGCAAAACAAAACTCATACTATCGGTGAAGAATTAATAGAACCATGTGACCTAAAAGCCACGCAGATAATTTTAGGAGAAGATGCAGAGCAAAAAATGAAGTCTATTTCTCTTTCGAATAACCAGTCAAGCGTAGAATCGATAACAATGCAGAAGACACACAGTCACAAATAATTAACAAAGTAAAATTATCGCCATTTTTTGCGATGAATCCACCGACAACGTTAATTGTGTACAGTTAATAGTTTATGTTCGTTACATAGACGGAGATATCATTCAAGAAAAGATTTTGTACTCCCAGCAGGTACTACATCTGAAAATATATTCAATTCAATATCAAATTTTGTTGAAAAAAATGATTTGGATTGGAAGAAACTCATTGGACTTTGCACAGATGGCGCACCTGCAATGACAGGTGGACGATCGGGCTTAGCTAAAAAGCTAAAGGAAAAAAATCCCGCAATGGTTAGTACACATTGTGTTATTCACCGGCAAGCTTTGTATTCCAAAACATTGGCACAGAAATTACGCCAGACTTTGGACTTAGGCTTGGTATATATATATATATATATATATATATATATACAGGGTGTCCCAGAAGTCGACGTCAAGCCGAAACCGGGTGATAGGCAAAGTCATAACAGCTATCAGAAAAAATAGTTAAAAAAATTTTATGTATGTGTTTTGAAAATTATAGGTCTTTGAAAAAAATATAGAAATTTCACCCCCAGTTTGTCAACTCCTGTTACTACAAATATTAACTTTTTTTGGATTTTATTTTTACAATGTAATGATGAATAATGCATCTTCAATTGGTGTCTCAACCTTACTCCCAACTTTTCTCGTTCAGGAAAAATTGCCACTTATTTCCCAACCAAGTATTCCAAAGTAAAACTTTGCTCAACTTTAACTGGCTGTACTGGAAAAAATGTACTACGAGAGTTTGGCAAGTAACTTTAAAAGTTGGCGCATTTAATAAGTATTCCAAAATGGTATAACACTTAGAAGATTACTCGTTAACTTATGCACAATTTTATTTGAAGAAAAACTGATAAAAATTTTTCAAAATTTCCTAATTAAACAGCGATTATGAAAACGCACAAGGACCCTTAAGGATAATTGTTTGCACAATAGTGGGCGTCAAAATGCTGCTGATGCCTTTACAGCAAATGCTCAAACTGTTTTCCTTCAGCCGCAATACACGCTCGACATCTTCTTAAAAAAGATCGGGTTATTAAACGAGCGAATCCACGGTCATTAACAAACTCAGCTGCTTCCAATAGTCTTTGCCGTAGCTCAGCTACATTTTGAATCGGCTTGAAATACACTTTTTCTTTTACAGTTCCCCAGTAAAAAAAATCTAACGGATTCAAATCTGGTGACCGGGCTGGCCACGGTATTGTACCAGACCGCCCTATCCATCTGCCTGGAAAGTTTTGATCGAGATACTCTCTCACTGAGAGTGCACAGTGTGCTGGGCAGCCATCATGCTGAAACCACATGTCCCTGTAAATACTCAGGGGCACGTCCTCCAATAAATTTTCTAAATGATTTTGCAAAAAACCTAAATAAACCTGAGCAGTCAAAGTCTCTGGGAACTCAAACGGACGGATTATTTTACCATTTAAAATTCCTGTCCAATGGTTTATCTTGAAGCGATATTGAGATTTATCTTCTCTCATCAAATGTGGGTTTGCTACGTGCCACTCGTGTAAGTTATGCAGATTCATGTACCCATCTTTCTTAAATGAGAAGAGCTTGAACACGCTGTACGTGGTATGTATGGTTTTCATAATCGCTGTTTAATTAGGAATTTTTTTTCAAATAAAATTGTGCATAAGTTAACGAGTAATCTTCTAAGTGTTATACCATTTTGGAATCGTTATTAAATGCGCCAACTTTTAAGGTTACTTGCCAAACTCTCGTAGTACATTTTTTCCAGTACAGCCAGTTAAAGGTGAGCAAAGTTTTATTTTGGAATACTTGGTTGGGAAATAAGTGGCAATTTTTCCTGAACGAGAAAAGTTGCAGTAAGGTTGAGACACCAGTTTGAAGATGCATTATTCATCATTACATTGTAAAAATAAAATCCAAAGAAAGTTAATATTTGTAGTAACAGAAGTTGACAGACTGCCGTAGGGTGTGAAATTTCTATATCTTTTTCAAAGACCTATAACTTTCAAAACACATACATAAAATTTTTTTAAATATTTTTCTGATAGCTGTTATGACTGCCTACCACCCGGTTTCGGCTTGACGTCGACTTCTGGGACACCCTGTATATATATATATATATATATATATATAACTTGAGACGTGGTCGTTGTCGTCTAGACCAGTTAGGTGAAAAATAAAGTTTCCGCCTTTTGTTGGGTACTTCGACAAAATTTAAGCAAGGAGGACTCTTTATACTTTTTTATTCTCTCTAGCTTTAAATGGTCTTTGCCATCATCATCAGGAGCTGCAATTACATTGATAACAGTAGCAACAATAGTGTAAAACGAATTTAAATTAACTTACAGTAGTATGTGAGGATATTGCTAATTGTTGTTTACGTTAAGGATGAGGGAAACACCCAGTAACACGGTGAAAGCTGGATAAATGGTACAATGGTCAAAATTATACAAAGTACACACAGCTGTATGACAAGAACAAGTTAAAAACAGATTAAAAAATATTTAAAACGAAAGTTAAGCATTACATCGTGAAGCCACTTGATGATTGAACAAAATGGTGGGCATGGAATAAAGAGTAAGATGAACCGTTTGACAGATGGCCGAAGGTTAGCAGTGTCTGTGTAGAATGATGGAACGAAAATTCTTTTGTGGGCGTGTGCTACGTTGCCAAATCACTTCAGATGGTGTGATTTCCTCATAATTAAATAATAACTGTTAATTCAGTTGCCCATCTAATAAAATATAGTTAATTCAACTGCCTCTGGTCGGGTTATATATATACGCTGGTTATCCAAAGGCAACATGTTCGCTCGCCTTATGAATTGAAAGAATAGAATTTTTTTTTATTGAGTTCTAAGAAAAACACGATTTCTTGACAATGTTCAAAGATGACACATTTCAATGGAGGTTGGCTTATTTAACTGACATATTTGACTCCTTGAATGAGCTAAACTTGGAACTTCAGGGCAGAAACAACACTATAATAAGCAATTATGATTATATCCAGGGGTTCATATCAACTTTGGAATGAAAAAGTGACTTCTGAAAATGTTATATCTTTTTCTCGGCATCAATTCAGAGTCACCAATATGACACATGACAATAAATCCATTTCTTGTTGATGTGTCACAATTACCAGAAGTTCCGGAAGAAGTTCTAGAAATGGAGGCTGATTCGTCCATGGAAGATGACTTCCATCTTTTAAGATTAGAGAAATTTTGGATCAAAAGATTGCCTGTTAATTCGACACTTGCCTCTCTTGCTTTACGAATACTAGTTCCTTTTTCTTCAATTTACTTATGTGAGACAGCTCGAGTTTTAATTAATACTAAACAGCGAAATCGTCTTGATGCCAATAGCGACCCAATGATAGCTCTGGCAAAAACAGAACCTAGAATCAACCAACTGGTACAGAACATGCAATCTCAAGTGTCTCATTACTCTCATTAGTACCTACTCTTAGTTTATTCAAGTTTTTCGATAAAAATCATTTATTGGTTTATTCAAACCTTTAAAGTTTCTTTATTAGAATTAAAATAAAAGTCTTTGTACCTATATAATGTGCGTTTCTTTGTATTTAATGAAAGAGTAAACGGGAGCTTGAAAATATAATTTATAGTCCGAGGAGGCTCAACAAAAAAAAGGTTGGAAACCCTGGTGTAGCGCTTCATGATGAATTGGACACATGTGCTTTAAACAAGTACTACGGCGCCGCCTACTGAAATGCGTGTATCAGAAGTGGCGCGCAATTTAAATCAGTCAGTTATATCTTTTTTTCTTATCGATCTTTCTACATCTGGCATAGATGAATTATTTACGAAATCTAACATTGATGAGAAGGTAATGCACATTACAAGCGTTATCGTGGAAACCTATAATAAACATGCACCTTTTAAAACTGTAAGAGTTAATAAGCCACCATCACCTTGGTTAACTAATGAACTGCGCACTGTTCTTGATGAAAAGAATACTGCACAAGCTTTATATAAAACTAATAAGACAGTGGACGCCTATAATAACTTCAATCGCTTAGAAACCGTGCTCTTAACATGATCAGGAGGGACAAAAAGATATATATAGAAAATTTGGCAAATGAAAATGATTCAAAAAAATTGTGGAAGTCTCTCAAACAACTTGATATAAATTTTCGTAGTAAACCACCCTTCCGGCAAGTTTTAATGATCCTACCAAAATTAATGATTATTTTATGTCTGTTTATAGCTACAAACCTGTTGATTCACTAGTTTGCGAAAACTATTTCAAAAATAAATTAAGCTCTGAATATATGTTTTCATTTAATAAGATTAGTTCAAATGACGTATTACAGGCAATAGGGAGCCTAAAATCTGATGCGAAGGGAATTGATGGTATATCCCTGTCAATGATCCAGCTTTGCCTGCCAGTTATTCTCCATCACATCGTCCACATCTTTGACGACTGTTTGGAAAAAGGCTACTTTCCAAACACATGGAAACAAGCTCTAATTATTCCAATTCCTAAAAAAATGAAACCCACTGAGTATAATGAAATCAGACCTATCAGTTTATTACCAATTTTATCCAAAATTTTAGAAAAAATTATAAAGTTCCAATTGACCGCTTACCTAGAAAAATTCTTTATACTTCCCGACACTAAATCCGGATTTAGAAAAAATTATAGTACAACATCTGCCTTACTTAATCTGCAAGACAATATTTTAAGTGCCTTAGATAAGAAAATCGCACTAGCCTTAATCTCTATAGACTATTCGAAAGCCTTCGACAGCATCAATCATAAATTATTACTTGCTAAATTAAATTACATATTTCTTGGCAGTGTATCCCTTTTTTTTCAACAGTTACCTTCATCAAATAACTCAGTGTGTTTTTCTCAATCAAGAAATGTCTCAAGTGACAATAATTCCCTCAGGCGTACCTCAGGGCTCTGTATTGGGGCCGCTTCTGTTCCTCATATATACGTTCGACTTAAGCAAAAGTATTAATAATTCTCATGTCCAGTCATTTGCTGACGATACGCAATTGCTTCATTATTTTAACCCAAATAATGTCAATAATACTACTCAAATTTTACAAAACGATGTTAATAAATTAATTAAATACTCTTTAGACCACAATCTACTTATTAATCCACAAAAGTCTAAAATGTTATTATTTTGCGCACAAAGAAAAACATACAATGTAACACAGCTCTTGAACATTCAGATAAATAACCAAATCTTGCAATTTTCTGATTCTGCAAAAATTCTTGGTGTTG